TTTAGCACGATGACTTTAGCACGATGACTTTAGCACGATGACTCTAACATGACTGCTCCACGTGTTGTGTGTATTTCTGATGTGTTTAGCTCAATAAGAGACAAACTGCAGTTGTTGTGTTGTTTCTGTGTTTGTGTTAATCATGACGATGTGTTCACGATGTGTTCACGGTCCATGTTAACAACCAGCTGATATGGACACAGATCTCTTACACTATATTCTGGTTTTCTTGTTTTCTGGTCGTCCTCTGACTTGAGGGAGTTTCTTAAAATCTGAAACAAACTTTTTGGCTGAAGAACGATCTGATTCGATTCTGGGGGTCAAAGGTCACAGTGACCTCACACATTCGATCTGACACCTTCAGGAAATGTCTTCAGCGTTTGACCAGTTGTCTCGTGGACTCAGAGTCCACTTCCTGTTAGTTTGTCTCTTTAATGACATTCATATAGAAAATGTACTTTATTGCGTAAACTCTTTTTACTGAAGGAACCTTGAGGCTACTTTTAAAATTCTGATCTGCTTCTCTTTAACCTTCTCTCAGGAGAAATATGGAGCAGATGAGATAAGAGAATGATTCTGACCCTCGACTCCTCAGAGTTTAGAGGTTGAGACACGTTAAATCTCGTGTTTAAGATAATCAGCTTTTCTTTTTAGATCAAATTTTTATCCTAAGAATCGTTTTATTTTAATTATTTGAGACAAATGCAGATTATAGTGGGGGGAGATATTTTAAGATCTGAAATCAGGCTGTTTCTCAATAAATATGAAATAGTCTGAACATCATTGATCAGAGGGAGAAGAGAGTTTGATGAATGACGAAGATACTCACAGAGGAAGAAGCTGCAGATCAAAGTGTACCTGACGTTCATGTCGAGGCTCTGATGGTTGAAGCTGCTTCTGCTTTTTGTTCACTGACCGATCAGAAACTTCTCACTTCTCTAAATGACGGAGTCCCTCCCCTCTGTGTGATGTCAGAGGAAGTGTGTGAACATAAACAGGTTCAGATAAAAAAAGTTAGTTACTAATTGAATAAATTAGAAAACTAACGACTTAAATGCATTTTACTTTCATTTAGGATAAAAACAAAACTGGACCAGGAAGCTGTTTAAAATCCCTGCAGCAGGTCTGAGGTGCTGCAGCAGAGAACCAGCAGGGGGCGTAATGTGTCCGCTTCACTGGTGTCGACCTGGAAATCAGACAGGAGAGGCCGAGTTCTAACGTTGCATGTTGGTTCCTGCAGTTAATCCACTTGAAGTCATCTGATTGTCGTTTCGCCTTTTTATTTTGGGTGGCCTGTGATTGCGGCACCTTCTGACTCGTCCTGCAGGTGGTGCCACGTCTCAAACCGCTTGTTGTCTGAGACTAAACGAGAATCAGAATGATTTCACTGGGATGCCACTCCTCTCTCTGTTCAGAGGTGTTTTCAATCTGTTTGTCCGAACGGTTAATTAATCTAAACGAGATGTGTTCATCTCTGCCTCCAACTCACGAGATGTAGAACGGTGTTGGTGTTGGTTGTGTGTTCTCTGGACCTGGACTGGTTCCTCCGTCATCGCAGCAGCAGAGTCGTCTCCGCCTGTCAGCTGTGATGGATTGGTCCTGTCCCCGTTAGGAGCTGCTCTGATGTTATTCCAGTTTATCCCTCTATGGTTGTATTCATCCTTTCTTCCACCTCTCTCTCACCCTCCTCCCCTTCTCTGCCTTGCTGTTTTTTAATCATCCCTCATTACTTCTCCTTTTTCAGTTTGACTTCTCTAATCTTCACTCTCTCATCTTTCATCTGTGCAGCATCATACTTCCTGTCCAACCTGATGTTTTATATTTACTGTGCTGTGCCATGAAGTAGAATATTCATTTCTATACCTCCATCCTGCTCTCCCTCCTCCTCCTCCTCCCTTCCCAGCAGATCTCTAAAGCCCCTCAGCTCTCCATCTTTCACTAAACTCTGTGTTCAACCTACAACTCAACCTCTCTCCCTCTTGTTCGCTCAGTGTTGGAGGATTTGAATCAGTGCTGTTCCAAGTCTGCAGTCCCGCTGGCTTCCTCTAGAGGTCGCTGTGTTCACTGGAACCACAATATACCTGTGTCCAAGTTCGGGGGCCGCCTGCTTTGGAGGACGTGTCCCTCTAAGACTACGTCCTTCTCTGGAGTGGAACAGGTCGTTGTAGCCATTATTCCGTCAGCAGGATCATCTCCTTCTCGTTTCTTGAAATAAGTTCCTGTGACTTCACGGAGCTGAGAACTCATGGTGTTGGCTCCGTATGGTTTAACACAAGAACTAAGTTACTTTCAAAGAAAACAGATAAAAGTCAACACTCTTCATATTTTTAACTTTTCCATCCGATGGTTGGAATGAAAGAAAAAACAAAGAGAGCAGGGAACATTTTACTCGACGCATATTAATTCATTTCTTTTAATGAACTCTTATTTTTAGCACTTTCACACCTTTCACTACTAGAACATGTCTGCACAAGGCTCTGTACTACAGGACTTTAGATTCAAGAGTTAGCTCAGTACTTAATTCATGCATTATAATATCTCCTGCCATCTTCCACCACCCTGCTGCCAACGATAAACCTCATGAGCAACACACTCTAATGGACACAATATCAATATATGTAACGTGTCACAGTAAGGTAAAAAACAAACAGTCAGATAACAATCATATCGGTCCCCTGGAGTCTTCAGAAGGCATTGTGGGAAAATGATGCACCTTTAAATTGAAAGGCATGAGATGAACTGCACAGATCGATGAGATCTGACCGTCGGGTATAAAAGGAGGAGTTTTCCATCGAGGTGTTGACGCTGAAGCTCGGCCTCCGGCTGCGTCAATAATACTCTGCTTCTATTTTGAATATGTGTCGTCACCAGATGTTTCTGTACAAAGTGAAGAGGAGGAAATCAAATGAAGCTTAATATGAAAACAAAGTGTGTGAGACGTTTGAAGGTTGTTGTATCTACGAGTTGCGTTCAGCTTTTCTTAGACTCTGTGTTACATCACACTGCAGATCATGTGACACTGACTGAACCTGAGCTCCGTCCACAGGAGGTCTGGATGGATTTTAGGTTTGTTTTCCCTCTGTTCAGTTTGAGAGCTGGACTTAGTGATCAGATTTTTATAAAGCTTTAAAGCCGCTGCTTGTGCTTCGAGCTGTGCTTGTGCTCAGACTGTGCGCTTGCACTCAGATATTTCCTTGATGAACAGAATGTGTGTTCCAGCTTCAGCTCTTCTCCTTGTGCTCATGCTGCTTCTGTGCTCGCTTGAATTTTTTGTGCAACAACTCAAAAAACCCAACATGATACCAGGAGTAGTGTTTACAAAAGTAACTGCTCCACCCTTATTGTGGCTGCGTTAGCTTTACTTCCTTTTACTCGGAGGGTGATGGTGCCTGAACCGAGTTAAAGCAACGAGGTCTGAGGAGGAAGTCCCAAGTGAGGTCATGTGTCAGGAGCCTCTCCCCTTTTTATAATTAAATTAAGACAAAGATGTTTTCATGAGTCACAACAAAGCTCTCTTTAAAAACGTCTTATTTTGAAAAGACAACCTGTCGTCTTCAGGTGAAAGATAAGGATCCTTTAATTTCATATATTCTCTCTTCTACCTCCACGATAGACAAATGTATAAAGTTACTTTCAGACTCAAGGCCAGCTTTTCAGAAGCACTTCTTTCTGCCTCCTCATTTCTGTGACTCCTTCATGTCTCCCTCCCTCTGGTTCAGTTCACTGGACAGTTTGAACCAGTAAAAGTTTTCAAATCTGAAGCTTCGATCCTTTAGGTCCAAGTTTGTATTTTCACTTTCATCCCTCTGTTCTCGTCTCCGCCCTCATTTCACACCGTGGTCACAGAAAGCAGAGGGTTGTATATTTTCTTTCCGTCCGGCGACCTCGAGCCGTGAGCCAGCAGCTCCTGGATGGTGATCCAGTTGTCGAGGATTCTCCGGTTCCTCTTCTTGGTGATCTTCTTGTGGCTCAGTGACAGGATGTTGTTGCTGGGGGAGTCCTGTCGGGAGGAGCAGTGCTCTAAAGTCGGGTCCCTGCAAATGAAATAATAAAAAATAGGCTTTATGTTGTCTGTCAGGACTTTGCTTTCCAAGTAAAAAGAAATTATACTATTGAAATAACAATTAACTACGCAGACATAAAATATATACGATTACATTTCATTAAAATAAATCTTTCCTACACATCGTTTAAAAAACCTGATTTATGTTTCAGGCCTTTAAGACGTCGACTCAGGTTAATGTGATCACGATGATGAATGTGAGTCAGCGTGGAACCTGAAACTAAGAATTCTTCTTTGTTTCAGCTGTTTTCAGAGAATTTGGATTCACGATGAGTTTGTCTCCAGGATGGTAACGTCTCATCATCATCATCATCATCATCATCATCA